TCCTCCCACTAGTGCTGCCCCTCCTTTTAAGGCTCACAGTGTATTTAGAGAAATCATGCCCGATCCACATCATCCTGGTGATACAACAATATAGGGCACTCATAGCACAGCTGTTGGAGTTTTTCCAAACCGGGGAGTTGGGAAAAGAAGAGGAATTAGTGATTTTATATTCTAGTGGGGGAGAGATGTGCACAAGTTCAAAAGCTATCATTGAAAGTTGTGAAAGAACATTTTATGTCAGGGTTCGGTTTTAAGTAATGGGCAATTTTGCCGTGGCGTTCCTCAGGGAATTAATGGTCTGCAGCAGCAGCCTCTCCTTTCTGAAGAGCCCCAGTCCAGGATGTTAAATATTATATGTTACCCTACATCGCCCAAATCTAAATCTAATCCCAATCTTCCTAAATTACATTAGGATTAGATTTATGTTTCTAAAGATTACTTTTTGAAAAACGGTACACAGCTGATTTCAGGTAAATGTTTCCACGCCTTTAGAAAACAATGATTTAATGGTTACCTTCTGTAGAACATCTTGATACTCTCCAGGAGAAGGTGTGGAGATGCATGTTCTTAAAGAAATTAATGGCAGCACTAGCCGATCAGTATGTAGGAGGCGGTTGGAAAAGGAGAAGCACTTTCCTGGGTAATTTCGTAGATGTCAAAAAGAGCCCTTGTTAAACAAACACCACGTTCTGGAGAGAAATAGAATAGTTTTAAATCTATATTTAACTAACTGTAAATTAAAAAGGTCAGTCATTAAAGAGGTGCAGTTTACACCGTTTTAAAATCTTTAACATCTTTTTCAATTTTTACAGTTTAGCATTCATACTACAGTATTTCACTGTGGCTTTTCGTCCACGTTTCACAGTAGAGATTGCAGTAGAGTAGTATATTGCCATATGTACATGTACTGTACATTGAAATTCGTATTCATGCCAATCTCTCAGGACATGCACAGTACGACAGACAGCACCACACAATGTAGATGGTACGTTACAAAATGGTACACAATAAATAGAGCCAGAACAATAAATACTTTGTAGAGAACAATAAATATGTGACGTAATAGTGAAAGAAAAAAGATCATAATTAGACTGTAACGTCAAATTATTCTCAGTTAAATTGCTGAGGTTTCTTTGACAGTGTGAGGGTTTCTTTTTTCCACATGTTTCACATTTCACTTTCCAGGACTAATCAATGGTTAATCCTAAAAAAGGCTGTCTGTTCAGGGCATCATTGTGGAGAAGTGGTTAGGGTTATGGACTCACAGCTGTAAGGCTGTGGGTTCAAATCCCAGCTGATACACTGCTGTTTTGCCCTTGAACAAGGTGCTTAATTTAGATTGCTCCAGTAAAATGCTCATTTTTAGGTCAATCTTCAACACCTGCATAAGCAAATAATTAGGATTTGCCCAAATATCTCTTTTACAGTCATTTTAAACTGTAAATCTTTAGGTTTTCAGAAAATCTTCAGCATTTTCTTCTTTGATTCTTCCTTCTTCTTCAAAGGAGTGGGTCTTTTATAGAGCATCTCCTACTGTGTACAGTATTGCTCTAGCAAAGTGTTATCCACAAAGAAAGGGTGATAATCTTGGTATTATTATCCAAACAAATCCATTTCATTTTTATTTTTCTGAAGGCAGTTTCAGTTTAGACTTTTTTTCTAATGCTTTCAGTTAATTGTGAACATTCAGACCTTAACACTTCTAGTATAATTGGTCCTTGACTCTCCTTATCTTGTCTCATTTCCAGTGTTAATATTTCTGTCAGATCATGTTGTGCTTGTGCTGAATCTTACACTTTTGTTCCTGTGCCTTTTTGTAATTATATTTGTTTTTACTTGATCGAATTTTGGTTAAAAAAAGCAGAATGGAACACATATAAAGTCGTATTTAATTTCCTCTCACTTTATTTGCTGTGTTTCATTACAGTGTTCCTTCCTTTAAAAAAAAGACACAACTCAGTCAAGGCTTTGGGAGACTTATTTGTGGGTTTTCTCATGTTTTGTCTTTAACATGGCCAGAAAATTGTGAAGTAAAAATAAAATGTGAACATGTGACATGTGAGCATTGGTACCTCCTGGCCATGTGATGTCAATCCTACAGGTTTCCTATGTTGCTTATCTGGGTGTTTAGTTTTTATTTTGATTTTCCCTTGGAAAAGGTCTCAACTATGTGCTCTCCCAAAGTTGCCCTGATCAACCATACTTAAAAGCAGGTGCCAAGAATATGCCATTTTAGACACGTATGCCCCCTTTTGTGAAGAGCAGACTCACTTCTCTTGTTTAGACATAAAGCATGTCAAGCCCCACATTGGCTTGGAATGGGTGATTAGAGGATTGAGAGAAAATAGAACATTACCTTTCTTCATGTTGACCTAAATATTCCATTTGAATAATTGCAGTGCATGCATTTTATGCAATTAAAAAATGAGCCCACTCCCTGCAGTAGGTAAGTTACTTCTGAGCATTTGGTACACTTTGTTCAGTCAACTAGCAGACCTTTTTTATAGAGGATTTTTTTCCTTTTGTTGCCTTTCATCCTATGGGATACAGATGCTCCTGAACGTAAGGGCTTTTTGATCATTCAAGTGCAACCGACTTAGTCCAAGACAGAAATTCAACAAAAAGCACAACATTTCTTTGCTTCGAGAAATGCTGCTTTGGGAAAATGATTTTTGACACAAACCTTTAAACAATAAAATACTTTGTTTGATATACAGAAATGTGTAATTATGTCTTTGATCTGCGATGAATCTTTTTTTTTTTTGCTTCTTTTTGCCTGAAGCCAATGTAACAGATGCATATGATTAAACTTGGTGTTACCGGTCTGTTATTGTAATGTAGATGTTTCAGGGTTGGGGGAATTTGTGTAAAGCCCCAGTAGAAAGTGCATGCTGTTACTGCTCAGAGCTCTCAATCTATTTCATTTCTTCCATGCTAGTGGAACTTCACCGTTGGCGTGCCTGAATGCCATGCTTCATACTAACACTCGTGTTGGTGATGGAACTTTCTTTAAAATCCCTGGAAAATCTGGACTTTATGCCCTAAAAGTAAGTATGATGGGACACGATCTCTCGCTTCACCTGTTTGTAAAATCTTGACTTGCACCGTTTTGTATCGTAAGCAAACCCAGTCGTTTATTTCAACAAGTATCATTATGAATATAAATTTACCTGTTTTTTACCTTACTTACTGTATTGTATTAATAAAGGTAATATGTATTGCTTAGTTTCAGTATTGTAATCAGATAAGTAAAGATTTGTGTTTTTAATATGTAGTTAATTGTGTAAATAGCTATTTATAATTTGACTTCAGGAAAAGCCATACGTCAGTAGAGACTTTTTAAAACAGGTTACATTTGTAACCTTAAAAATGCAGCATTTTACTCAAAGAATCATGCTTTATTTATCTAGTCACCTAATAATATTGTAAGGGTTTGATGTCCTCCTTGCTGGCACTATTAATTTATCATTGTAAACAGATATTCACTATGTAAAACTTCATGCACAGAAAGATAAATACATTTTAATAAACTGAAGCCTAATTCCCTTTAAAAAAGCTGCAGAAATTGCTGCAGTAGATCTCATGGTACTTGAATTGAATATATATTTTAAAGGGCTGCAGTGGAATTTTCTGTTTCTCACACCACAAGGTAGTAAGATTACTGTGCATCTCTTGTTTGCTGTTTGTCTGTTTAATTAACATTGTATAGAATTTCCTGAGATCTGCAAACAGGGATTAAAAACAGGTTTCAGCCGTGTTTTGTTCATTTTATTTCTAATATAATGTTGGGTGCTTTAAAAGCAGGCTTGGCCAGACTCCAGACTGCTCCAATCATTCCCATGGTTGGTGTGCTCTCAGTTGTTGTAACGGTCAAGATTCAGGAAGCAGACACAGGCAATATTAAAGGATTTAGGTTTCTGTAGCAGTAGTCTGAACACTGAACTGGCTGGATGGAATTGAGAGTGAAAGGAAGTATGTTTCCAGGAAGAAAAAAAGCAGCATTTGAACCTTATGTTATCAGGCATTAAAAAGCCAGGCAAATGTGATAGGATTATTTAACAGTAAATCAATATGTGAAGTGCACTTGTACTAGAGTCTTTGAAAGAAGCGTGCATGCTGTGGGATTCTGTTAGGCTTTTTTTTTATTATTGTGTTCTTTGTAGAAAGAAGAATCACCAAGCCTTGCCGATGGGGCAACTGAGTCTGTGTGTGAATCTGATATAGAAGGTATTGAAATGACCGAGACAAATAACAGCACCGGTGAAGAAAATGGAGGTAAGCTAACTTGATTTTTTTTTTATTGCCATGTTTATTTATTTTTTTTTAATTGGTCGGGGATTTGATGTTGAAGCATTTGAAGAGGGAATGCTTTTCACTAATGCAATTGCCTTAACTCGCTGCTGTTACAAATGATTCAGTTTGCTGTTTCTCAGATTCCTTAAGGTGACAGTAATAAAGAAAGATAAACACACTGATCCAGGAATATTGTGGTATTGAAGAAAGTGCTTTAACTGCATACAGCGTGCTTTTGCACAGATCCTTCTCTGTCTGTGATCTCTCTGTAGTGGCAGTTGTTCTTAAATATGAGCATATGGAAACAATATTAATTTGTCATGTGGCCTCTTGCAGACATTGTCTAATTTCTGTTCTGAACATTCAGAAGGAAAGGAAGTCTGCTCTTGTCAGTTTCTGTGGTTAAGACGGATTGCTGTTTCTATCACATTACCTGGACCAAAATCCAACTCTATTGTTATATTTAAAGGCCTTTAAAGGACTCCCTGGAGTTATTGATTGTTGCCTTGCCTGAAATGCGGCTGGAATTACATTTTTGAGACCTGAACTCTTATCGCAAAGTAATTTAAAATGATTCTGGTCTGAGGGTTTTAAAAGGTCACAAAGGCACTGGTAGAATCAGCTTCATTACCCAGTGTAGAGCAATATCTGCTATCAATCTGCAAACAGGTAAGCACATAACAAAGTCAGACAGCTACAGCACGGCTGTTTTTTTCTTCCTTAAGATGTTAGAACGTTGCCACTAATTGGCTGTTAAGACTCCCTTCTCAACAAATAAGGATGGAAAAGCAGAATATTTAGACTATAATCATACAGTAGAGTATTAAATTGATATTGAAATAATTCGCAAGATGTTTGAAATAACATTATGCCTTAAAATATTGAGCATCGGAGACGTGAAAAACGAAGTGTACTTATGTTAATCACACTTTAGAGTGAGGAGACATTTTAAAAGAAAAATAACTAAATGACTTTTTGACAGCCATGTGTAGGTGGTTTCTCAAATTATATGCATTGTGTTTGCTTATCTCTATATTTATATCACTGAGGGGGCTGGAAAAACATGTGTGTCCTTGTATGTGTTCATTTAAATCTATTTTTTATATAAAGCATGCTTTGGTGCGGACGGAATCCCCATGGGATCTCTAACCACATTTACATGCTGATACTGAATTAAACCATGACAGTGTGAAACCCTGTTCTAGGATGCTCAGAGACATTAGTTACTGTACATTATGCTTTGTAAGGTCACTTTATTGATTTTGGATTTTATACGTTAGATTAAAAATCAGTACTTAAATTATACAGAACAATATCATTACTCCGGTAGCTGATTGCAACGTTGAAGGTTTTACTCGGGATTTAAACACACAGCCTTCCAATTTCTGCTATTATTCAGGAAACATTTGACAGCTGTGGTGGGACACAACTACGCAGGGCACAGCTGCAGTAATGTGCTTGAGATCACCCAGTGATTATAGCTCACATCATATTTTGATATACCTTGTGAAAGGTATATTTTAGCAACCTTAAAGGTGAAATTAAAAATAAACAAGTGACCTTAAAAGTCTGGGGGGGGCAGCAGTTGTATAAAATCACTTCTGGAGTCTGGGTTTATTTGTGTATGGAGTTTCGAATGTTTGTAAGAAACATGGAATTGATTCTGGTAGGAATCTTTGCAGTCATAAATGACCTATTACATGTACATTATCAAGATATGTCTTTATTTTAAGTGCTTATGATTTACATGCATAAGGCTGGTGTGAGAAAGAACAGTTCTGTAACTGCTCCGAAAGTCATAGCATCCTGTAGTTGAATGACTTTTTCATCCTATTTAACAAGTGTGGGTGGTACAACATACACAGACCTAGTGGTGTCACAGTAGTGACTTGACTTCACGTGAAGAAAAAAATATTATATGGTCCTGAATTTTGTTATTTTACTGTTAATTAATCATAACTTAACCCAGTCAAATTCTGTATTTTTAAACTAAATGGATTATCCAAGTAAAAATACTTTCAACCCTTTGAACAGTTCTGTATACATTAGGGATTTGTCTCTTTCCTAACTCTTGCTATGCAACAGAAAGAAATAATAAAAGCTGTGCTATAAAATGAGAAATGCTTTTTTTTTTTGTTCTTCTAATTGGTTCCAGAACAGCATAGTTTTGTATCTTGACTTTAAACCAGTACTAAAGTGCTTCCCTTCAGGGACTTTATGGAGATTTTTTTGGCTCTCTATTAACAAATGGAAAAAAAAAATCTTCAACAACAGAAAGATTCAATCATATTTCTCCCACGACATCACCTTTACAAATTATCCCATCTGTTTCAAAGAAGCCTGAACAGATTCTTGTTCATCCAAATGCGTTTCTGCTCAGTGACACTGACAGGTGTGATTTCTGAGCTTTTTCGTTTTGTCTTTTACATAGATTGGTGTATTTATTTAATGTGTTTATATAGTACCCGTAATATAGTATTCGTTTCACATTTTTATTTTTAAGGGGTATAAATCACCACGTTTCACTCCTCTGAGTGAAGAGTGAATATTGAGGACAATCGCATGTATTGGTTTAGGGAAAATGCACGGTGTTATAGTGGCAAACTGGAATAACAACAGTATGCTTTCTGACTCTGTTGTTGAAACACCTGACTAAGCCATCATGTATTTTGTTGCATTGTCTTTTTTTTTTTACATGTTGTGAGACTCTTCCCCTTCCCCCATGTTAAATGTGGGGGTGATGGATTGAAGTCAGCCTTTTCTTCTCAGCATGACAAACAGATGAATAATGACTGAAGCAGAAATATACAGGGGATCGATAATTGTATAGTCATAATGAGAGGCACCTTAATTAAGCAATTAGAAACCCCAAAATTCAATCTTGTACGTCAAGCAGCCACTGAAAACAAAACTAACGACGTGTAACTTACAAATCGTAAGATATGACCAATAAAATGATCCTAGTGAGGTTTTGTTCCACCAAAAATGTGGTTGATTTTCTGTGTGCAGTGTTTAACGTTTTAAGCATTGTTTTAAACAGTTCCTAGTTCTCTAGTAGCGTTGTTTATTTGTAGGAAAAAGCAGCAGATTAGATCAGAAATATCTAACCAGTCGCAGGCTCACTAGCCTTTCCCATTGCTACTTGTTATTTAAAAGGGAACTGGGGAATTGTATAATTAGATTGAAATTTGTTGCTAATATGCCACCCCCCGATCCCCAGACACTGAGGTTAAGGTGCAAAGTCCATTTTGTGTGGTTACTGATTTGGATATCCACAGTTTGAAGCTCAGCATATCAGTGTGGAGGAGTGGTGAAGGCTCTGGGTTCATAACTGAAAGGTTTGGGGTTCAAATCCCACGTGAGACTCTTGAGCAAGGTACTTCATCCACACTGCTCCAGTAAGATACCCAGCTGTATTCATGGGTGTAAATGTTAGTTGCTTTGGGGAAAAAGCATGAGCCAACTAAATTAGGAATATAAAATTAAACGTATAACTACAGCATGTTGAAATGCATGTGTAAAATGACCTGTTCTGTCCAGTCTGTGGTATGCAGGCTGGATCATTACACCCAGTGGTACCGTATGTGGGTACTTATAATGTCATCATACCTACATTCCTCAAACAAATACATAAAATTCAGAAAAGAAATCGGAATGAGGGCTGTGTCCGTTAAGTGTTTTTGATCTCCTTGTGTTCACTTGAGTTTCCTCTGGGTGTTCAGGTTTCCTCCCACAGTCCAAAGACATTCTGCTAGATTAACTGGTTGTTAGGAAAACTGGCCCTGGCATGAGTGTGCATCTGTGTTTGTATTTTGTCGGCCCTGCGATGGACTGGTGTCGCATCCGGGGTGTATCCTGCCTTGCCCCCATTGGTTACTGGGATAGTAACCCCACTGCCCCACTGTGACCCTGAACTGAATAAAGCAGTCAGAAAGTGGATGGATGGAAATCCTTAAGCACTGCAAGGAATGTTACCAAGTTTAATTGAGAGTCTCACCTGCAGAACTCAGAATTTGGAGAACGTATGCACTAAAAATAAAAATTAAATTAAAATAGATGGCTTTTTAACAATTTTCATAATGGTAGTATTAGAGTTTATAGACATCCATTCATTTGATGAATATATTATTTAATGAAAGTGATTTATTTATGTATAGATACTGGCTGCAACTTCTCTGTCACTACTGTTACTGTACAATTAGTATCATGTTGTCAGTATGCTTCATTAATAATCTTGATCATTTATAATTTCTAAAATCCATTTACTGTTTTTTTTTTCCCCATTTGGATTTATTAATTTAGTTTTGGCAAAGATCCATCTTTTCTTCATTCACAGAAACATGACAGCTACGAAATGTTTGTTTAGTAATTAAAGAGTCTAATGAAATATCTAGAGGGAAGAAATGTCCAGTACTTAATCCACACACCCATGGTAGTAATCTGTGAATAAAGATTCATTTCATTTTTAACAGCAGGAGAATGACTCTAAATTGCCATTCTAATTAAAACTAGCCAAACAAAGGTGGCTCATTGTTCAGCTGTGATGAAATCTGAAGTCACATAGGCCTTCGAGTGTTACCAATCTAAAGTGGGGTCTCTGTTTTTTTTTATCAAATTGAAATTTAGGATGCTGTCAATGTGCTGAATTGGACTATATACTAAAAAAGCCTTTTTATTTTTAAATACTATAAATGTTGGACAAGTACAGTACTTTATATGATGTATGTACTGTACGGTAAATGCACCTCACAAATATTGTTCTTAAAATGTGTACATTCTACAAGCCTGAAGCGTGCTATCGGGATTTCACAGTAATTGAAGAGGAGGGGTTGGGTGAGTGTTGTTTTGGTTGCCCATACTGTATCTGTCACTTTATTTTTGCTTCACTGTGTAGCATAATGAAGTTAGTTTTATGCCGAATCCTGCAGTCTGTTAGCACTATGTAAATTGCCTGTGATTATGTATTGTATATGTGTGTGTTTACAGTGTGATGGAATTATTAACTACAAATCTCCTTGGACAAAGATGTCAACAAAATAAAAAATATTCTTAGAGATGTAAATTCACCGTGCATGACAATTCAGTGTGCATTTACAGTACTGTCCATCCATAAAGTGGAGGACAAAACTGAACCAAGTAATTATACACCAATAAGTCTGGCTTTTATTACACTCTAGGTTATGGAAACGATTATTACAGCTAAATTAAATGGAAATAGCATCATAGGAGGTAGTCAACATGGATTTAAGTCTTGCTTAACTATCTAATTAGAGTTCTTTCAACGAGTAACAGCAGTAATCATACACATGGAGCATATGATCCGGTGTAGTTATATTTTTGGAAAAAGTTCACCTCAAAATATTAATTTTCAAATTTCAGATGGCTGATGTTCAGCAAAATGTGTACAGGAAAACAGAGTACAGATGATGTGAATGTTCACATATAGAAGGGTGAATGTTCTGATTGGGGTGATGTACAGTACAGTCTCGAGTATCTGACAATCAACATGCTGTATACATACAGTATGTGCTATGTACTGTATGCGTGTGCACGCATAATATTTTGCCCAATCCCATGCTGCTTTGTCTCTCAATGCGTCAAATACTGCCATTGACGTAGCACCGCTTATTCGTTTGCGCTCGTATATATAATTGTATTATTTGAGAAACATGACAAGTGCGAAGAGAAAGAAAGTAGTTTTTTCAATGGAACAAAAGCTTGAAGCGTTAAAAAGACTAGACAAAGGCGAGTCCACGCAAACAAATTGCATCTGAATTCGGTCTGGGCCAAGTTACAGTTGGTGACTGGAAGAGGAAAAGAAGTGAGCTCTGTTTTATAGTAGATTAATAAACCAGATTTCATACTTATACTGCACTTCCATTAATCTTTGATTTGTCTACTCAGTTTCTGCATTATCCAACATTTTCAATTTTCCGACATACTATCGGTTCTGTTAAGGTCGGATAATCGGGACTCTACTGTAATTAATGGAGTACCACAGGTATCTGTACTAGGACCACTGCTCTTCCTAATTTATATCATGATCTAGATCTTAATTCTGGTACAGTTAATAAACTAGTCATGTCTGCAGACAATACCAAAAATCGGAGGACTAGAAGCAACAAATGACTTTCAAAGACATTTACTACATTAAATGAAGACATGTAGCACAGAATATTACATACAGGTAGTAAAAACATAAAATTCAAATTCAAATGGGTGTCATTGAGCTTGAAGAGGCCACTTTTTAAAAATATTTACCAATCATGCTATTAAACACACATAGTGAATTACATCTCATGATATTGAACCCCATAAAGTGAATTACTATTCATGAAATTGCAGCGATGCAGCAGGTTCACCAGGTTTTTTTTGTCCTTCAAAGGTTAACAGGTGTGTGTGCTGAGCACAGAGGGGGGTAGAGATCAAGAGAGAGATTGTAGCAGCAGCATTTACACAGGGGGAGAAAAATTCAATAACGATGAAGCCAACAAACCTTTTAAAACTGTCATTAGAATAATTGAATACCAAATACACGGAAAAATAAGGAGTACAGAATTTCCTCTTAACAAAATTCTAAATACTGCCATTCCCAGGCCCTTGAATACACTCATTTACTATTACACTCCTCCCCTATGTTGTTCAGAAATTAAATACAGTAAATAATAAAATCGCTTAGGTGCATGGCTGACGTGATTGCTGTAGGGGCTGCAGTGAGGAGGCGTGAGGTGGTCCACAGAGGTCACCCCAGGGGTGCGCAAACAGGGCGAGACTGAGTGTAAACCAGCCCAGGTGGAGTCCCCTTGCTCTCACTCCACAGGAAGAGCCTGCTGCCCTGCTGGCTCTTCACACAGGAGAAACAACCTCCTTGACGGGACCATAGCATTAAAGGACGTACGTTTTTTTAATGTAAAGTCGAATTTGCGGAAGTCAAGTCTCACGTAACCCGGGAACAGGGTGTAATTGAAATCAAGGAATGTTATTTCAGATTGTATGATTTTTTTAAGCTTTTATGTTGAATATTGTGCGTGGTTCTGGTCACTGCGATGTCAAAAAAAGTTTTTAAAAACGCTATTGCTGCCCTGGATTTAGTCCAGAGAAGAGCAATAATGTGATTTCTGGGCCTTACGAGAATGTTTTATCCTGCCAGGCAGAAGAAATTCAGCCGTTTTAGTCTTTTAGTCAGCTGGATGAGATCCTGGATTAATTAGCTTCTACCAGACTGGCTAGATGTGTTGAATAGCCTCCTCTCATTTGTAACCTCCCATATGTTCTTATGTTAATTTAAAATAAATATGGGTCAGCTCTTGACTGAATAGAATATGACTAAGAAGAACATTTCACATCAGTGACCTTTAAAGTGTAGAAGTTAAGCATATGTGTTTTTTT